CCGGGACTGGGCCGCCCCCGCCCCCCCAAATCTGCAGCGGGAAGACCCTCCTCCTCCTCTCCGACCCACCCCAGGGAGAGGCGGCCCGCACCTGGTAGACGGAGGCCTTGGGCAGGTCGAGGCACACCGTGCAGCACAGCACCGAGTAGAGCCGCTCCTCCAGCTTCACGCCGCCGCCGCCGCTCGCGCCGCCCTCGGCCCCGCCGGGCAGCTTGAGCCGCTTCTTAGGCGGCCCGTCGGAGTCTCGGTCACCGCCGGGCTCGGGCTGGCCCTGCCGGCCGCCGCCGCCGCCGCCGCCGCCCCCCCCGCCCGCCCCGCCGCCCCCGAGCGGGGCCCCCGGCTCCTCAGGGCCCGGGCCCACCGCGGCTGCCACCGCGTCCCCCAGCACCAGCGGCCCCGCGGCTGCCGCCACGCCGGCCGCCGCCACCACCCCGCTGCCGGGCTCCCGCTCGTCCGGCCCCGACATCATGCTCTGGCTCGGGCGCTGCTTCAGCCCGCGGTGGTCAGCCCCGGTCCGGCCGCCTCAGGCGCCGCCATCTTGGTTTGGCTCCTTCCCCAGGCAGGCGGCGGGCGGGCGCCGTCGGGTCACGCCCCCTCCAGCCTCGCTCAGCCAATCCCCGGCGGCCGCTCACTCCCGACGCTCCTACCCCCCCCCTCCGTCAATAGCACCACGCACGGCAACGCGTGAGCCAGCGAGACAAACAGCCTCCTCTTCCAATCTCTACGCGCAGCCGGAAACGGACAGGGCGCGCGGCTGCTCAGCGTTTACCCTTTTAAAGACCCGCCTATTAGCGCTCTTCGAGGGCGGGGCCCGGGGCGGGAGGAGGAGAGGAGGGAGACGAATGGCGGGGCAAGCCCAAAGCAGCGGCAGCCTATCCGCGGCGGGGGGCGAGGCCGCCTCGGAGGGAGGGGCGCAGGTAAGGCCAGGTGGCCGCCCAGCGGCGATGCCCAACCGGGCGCCCGCCAGGTAATTCCAATCCTGGGGCGCCCGCTCTTCTCGGCCGTCCTGCCGGAGCGAGGCGAATGAGAGCGCGCCTCACCTGGGGCTGATTGAGGCTGCCTAGTCGTTCCCGCTGGCCAGGTAGCACAGGTGGCCATTTGGGCGGGGAGAGCAATGATTATGCGCTGCCATTAAGTTTAACTGCTTAGCAATTACAGGTCTTTCCTGTAGTTTAGTGACTGTTCCGAGTTACAACAGCACTGAAAAATGTGACTAGGGACCCGTTTTTCCCCACAGTAGAGACCATTGCAGCATCCCCAAGATCACGGGATCAAAATTCACACGCTTGGCAACTGGCATGAACTTATGCCGGTTTGTATTGTCCTGGGGTCCCATTTTGCGACCTTCTGACAAGGAAACACAAAACGAGAAAGCCAGATTCACTTAACCATGTTGGTGACTGGCATTAACAACTGTGGCATGAAAAGTTGTACCATGGGGTTAAATTCACTTAACGACGGTGTTGCTTAGCAGTGGAAATGTTGGGCTCAGTGGCGGTCGTAATTGAGGACTACCTATGCATAGATCAGAGTTGGGCAATTTTGGGATCTGTGGAATTCCAAAGGCAGGACAAGAAACGCCGTATGGAAACTAACCAAGGAGAGCAGCAACCTAGAAATAGGGACAATTTTTCTGACTGTGAGGACAATTAACCAGTGGAACTGAAGTTGCCTCCAGAAGTTATGGATGCTCCAACACTGGAGGTTTTTAAGAAAAGACTAGATAGTCCCTTGTCTGAAATAGTATAGGTTTTTTTTTTTACTAAAGCAGGGGGCTGGACTAGAAGGCCTCCAAGGCCCCTTCCCTTTCTATTCTGAAAACTCTCCAGCACCCACAACTTCTAAAGGCAAGCTATTCCACTGGTTAATTCCTAATTCCCAAAGCCCCTGAAAGGCAGGAGAAGAAGCAATGGGTGGAAACTAATCCAGGAGAGAAGCAACCTGGAATTGAGGAAGTTCCTAACAGTGAGGACAATGAACCAGTGGAACAGCCTGCCACCAGAAGCCTCTATCACTACTTATGCCATATCCATCATCGGACATTGGTGATCCTATTTTTATCAACTCCCGTCACTGGAGGTTTTTAAAGAAGAGTCATTTGTCTGAAATTGTATAGGGTCTCCTGCTTGAGCAGGGGGGCTGGACTAGAAGACCTCCAAGGTCCCTTCCAGCTCTATTCTGATTCACTTTCATAATTCTTGAGCCATTCCTGAGTCAGGGGCTTTGACCAAGGCATACATCTGCTGAATGCCTCCCTTACGACTGATGGATTTTCAGCTGCTCCCTCCTGCTAGACACGCATAGCCAGTCTTGCCCCAAAGTTTCTGACACTTTGTTGGCCTTAGCCCTTCTTTTCACGGAAGGAAGGGCTGTTTTCTCCTCTGCCAATCCCCCTCCCTCTTAATAGCAAAATTAAAACAAGGGAAGGTTTCAAGAAAACAATCTCTTGCCCCCCCCATCCCTGAAGTGGGGCAGCTGCCTTAGCAGCCCAGAGTTATATTCCTTCAACCACGCCCTGCAAAGGGACTGCTGAGGTCAGCGTCCCTCTGCAGCCACACCTGTCTTGAGAGCAGCTTCCACTTCAAAGGGACGCTGACCTAAAACAAGCTATTTACTTTTATTCCGGGGTGTTTGGTGTTTTTCTCGGGCTTCTCAAGTTTCCTCGAAAAAGTTCCTAGCATTGCAATGGAACTGGGCAAACAGCCAGGTGTTTTGAGCGCTTTGGCTTCCCACCCTCAGGAGAGGCCCAAGCGAGCAAGCGGGTGCGGCTGTGCCAGGGTGAGTAAACTTCGAGTAGCATAGCTGGTTTTACCTGCTGATCTGTAGGGCCCCCTTTGTCTCTCTCTGTATATAATTAAACTTACCCAACTTAAAATGCAAGTGAAAATAAAGGCAGTACGGAAGGGGAAAAGGGAAAAATTTGGGAAAAAGGGTAAACAAAGAAAGAGAAAGCATTAAACTTCCAACTCTTTTTGAGCAGAGTAAAATAAAAGGAATAACATTACAGCCTCCTCAACCATGACTGAGCTCAGAACCTCAGTTGCTAAGCAAGACAGTTGTTGAGTTTCATCCCATTTTACAACCAGTCTTTGTATCTTCCTTCATGTAGGACAGTCATTCAGGAAAGACTGATCTGGCCAAATTATTTCTGTGTTTTGTTTTTATACTCTTCCTTAGGGAGGCCAGACCAAAGCCAGGCTTGATTAAAAACAAAAATAAACAAGGAAACCACCTCCTATAAAACCAAAACAAGGTCTCTGTTTACACCACGTGCTTCATCGGAGGCCAGTAAAGGTTTGAAAACAATTTACATCACAGGATGTTCGGCTTGCCCAATCTCTTGGCATGGATGAGTTTAAGGATGGGCGTATTGTAGCAAGACAGAAGATAGGTTAACTTAATATCCTGAAGAGATCTGATTAGGGATGTTATAAAAGCAGCCATGAGAGAGGGAAATAATTAAAATAATCTGTGGCCATCTATTAGGCCTGGTTCTGGTAATGGAATGGCTAAATGTTTGCCACCATATCTGGTCTTTAATTAAAGTTAGGATTACCCAACCTTGGCAACTTTAAGGCACGTGAATTTCGACTCCCAGAATTCCCCAACCAGCAAAGGGAGTTTAATAGTGTGTTGTTTATTGCATTTGTGGTTATTTTATTCCCATCACAGAGGTTTTAATTTCTATCTGTTATGTGTAAGACAACCCTTGACTGTGGTGGTACAGAAACGTGTTAAGCAAATAAACAAATGAGTCCACTTTGAAATCTATGGTTGTCAGAGGAGTATCCTGTCCTTTTCTTTCTTGTTATGTCTACTCCAGTACTGAAATCTTCCCTTGGTTTGACAGCTGCTGCTTCCTTAACAGATTGCTGGTTATCTCCACATCTGGTGACAGTAAACTCCATAATTGGCATGTACGATGGAAAGCAGAAATCCGGTCACTCTGTGCTTACAACTCAGGAAATAAATCAGTAACTTGAGTATGAGGTAGCCATTCAGGTCTAGTTGTGGAGGTCCCAGGAGACGTGAATTCTAGTCCCGTTCTTAGCCACGAAAGCCAGCTGAGTGATTGTGGGCCAGTCCCCCTCTCTTTCTCTCTCTCCAAGGGTTGTTGTGGGGAAAATGGGAGGAAGGAAATGCTAGGCTCAGCCTCCTCGAGTCAATTATAAAAATAATAAAGGCAGGACGCAAACACCTAAAAATGTAGGCCAACCACTTCCACTAGCCAGCCCAACTTCCTGCTTCTGGTCACCAATGAAAGCAAACAGGACAATTACAGAGGACTCAACCCCCAGAACTTCACACCACCTGGGGTATCAAATTTATTACGGTACATATTTAAGCATAGTTTGTTGCACTCTGGAGCCACAACACATCCCAGTCTTATTTTGGAGTTGAGAAAAGATGCCTTTAGATTCCAGGTATATCAGATTCCCTTAGCAAGCGCCCTGGAAGGGTGAGGGGGCAGCTTTTCATTGGTGGGCAGAGCTGGGGGGAGAGAGAGAGAGATCTTGGCCTGCTCACTTCCTGTTTTGAAGGGGCTCCTGGGTGGAAAATGCAGGGCTGGCATGTTAGTCACTATGCCTGGCATGTGTTCACATGCAGAACTGCCACCATTGAAGTGCCACCCTGGCAATGGTTCAGGCAGCCATCGGAGCGAGAGCAGATTCCTCTGGCTGACTACAAGAATCAATGTAGAAATTCAACGTAGAGAAAAGTGAAGTCCTCCACTTACGCAAGAAAAACCCAAAGGACACACATAGACTGGGTGAAACCAGGCTCAATAGCAGGAACTGGGAGAGGGATCTCGGAGTCTTAGTGGACAACCAGCTAAATGGGAGCCAGCCGTGTGCAGCAGCAGCAGCAGCAGCCAAAAAAGACAACTCAATCCTAAGCTGCATTGACAGAGGGATACAGTCCAGATCAAGTAAGGTACTAATACCACTCTATAAAGCCTTAGTAAGGCCACACCTAGAGTCCTGCATCCAGTTTTGGTCACCACACTATAAAAAAGATGCTGAGACTCTAGAAAAAGTGCAGAGAAGAGCAACCAGGATGATGAGGGGACTGGAGACTGAAACATACAATGAACTGTTGCAGGAACTGGGCCTGGCTGGTCTAGGGAAGAGAAAGACCAGGGGAGACAGGAGAGCAGCCTTCCAATATTTGAGGGGCTGCCAAGGATAAGAGGAAGGGAGTCAAGCTATTCTCCAAGGCACCTGAAGGCCAGACAAGGAATAATGGATGGAAACTGAATAAGAAGAGATTCAACTTGGAAATGAGAAACTTTCTGACAGGGAGAACAATCCACCCATGGAACAGAAGTTGCCTTCGGAAGTTGTGGGAGCTTCATCCCTGGAGGCTATCAAGAAGAATCTGGACTGCCATCTGTCAGAAATGGTATATAGGGTTTTTTTGCCAGAGCAGGGGGTTGGACTAGATGACCTCCAAGGTCCCTTCCAACTCTGTTGATCTGTTAATCCCTTGCAATTCTGGAAATGGGCACTAGAGCCTTTGGAGTTCTGCCCTGCACTTCCTATTGATCCAACTGGACTCTTGGGGCCGCTTAGATTGGTGCCCACCCCCCAGGACCCAGGCTTCCCCCCATCAAGAAGCTACTATAGGCAGCCACTCCCTATAGCTGTTGCCCAGTTCCAGATACTGCAGTTGGAGAGCCCGGCACAGGGCCAGGTTGGCGGCTGCCGTGAGACCGCGGAGGAAGGCATCGGTCTCCTTCGGGGCCAGCAGGGGCCACAGCCCACTTCCCGGCAGCAGGCTGGCCGCCGCCAGCAGGAGGCTGCCCACCACCCCGTCGGTGCTTCCGGTGAAGACGGAGACGATGAAGATGGTGATGGTGACCACAGAGATGACCGAATGGACCACCACGGCCTTGCCGTCTTCGGTGAAGTAGCCCCAGCCGCCAGCCAGCATCAGGGCGCCTCCCAGGAGGACGTTGGCCGTGAAGCAGTCCCCATTCAGCCAGTGGAAGCCAAAGGCCAGCAGCGGCAGCCCCACCACCGTGCAGGGCCAGCTGTGGTCTGGGGGCCGGGCCCCTTGCCAGGGGAGGGTTTCCAGGAGGGGCCCGAGGGCCTGGAGGAAAAACCCGGCGGCAGCTCCCCGGTTGATCTGCGGATAGAAAGAGCAAAGGGGGCTTCAGAGCTGCGGGGTGAGGCCGCTCCACTCCCCCAGCTGGGGGGGTCTTGCCAGCCAGCAGGAAACCTTTGGCAGGGGCCCGGCTGCCTCCCCAGCCAACCAACCAACCTCTTTCCTACCTGGAAGGTCCGAATGGCCGAGTACAGACAGACCGCGGGCAGCAGGAGGTTGGCAAGGAAGGCGGCCAGGCCCTGCTCTGGCCAGGTGGGCATCAGGGTGCAGCTTCTGCAAGAGAAAAGGGGGTTATTTGGGCCCCACTTCGGGGCAGGCTGCGATGCCCCAGCTGCCCTCTAGACAAGCCGGGAGGAGGCGCGGCTGCAGGAGCAGTGAAGGGCACGCAGCCTGCCGCAGGCTTGCAGGGAAGGCTCAGCGGACAGGCGTGGGAGAAGGTTGGGGGCTGCAGACGGTGGAATAGACCCCCCCCCTCCGCCCCCTCTTCACCGCATCGGCTCAGCCGGAGTCCTCTGTGTGCAAAACAGGGGTGGGAAGGATGGCCTGGGGGGTGGGGCACCCTTCCTACAAGCAAGGAAGATGGAAGAGACCCCCGTGTGTCCTTCTTCACCGGGTGGGCTCAGCCGGAGTCCTCTGTCTGTAAAGCAGAGGTGGGATGGATGGTCTCTGGGTGCGGCTCGAGGTGAGGACCCCCTTCCTGCAAGCAAGCCTTCCTCCGTGGAAGCACGGCCGGACAGTGGGAGACACACACACACCCGCCCCTTTTCACCGGGTGGGCTCAGCCGGAGTCCTCTGTCCGCAGTGCTGCGCGAAGCAGGGGTAGGATGGATGACCCCTGGGGGGATCCGCTTCCTGCAGGCAAGCCTTCCTCCGTGGGAAGCGCGGCCGGACGGTGGAAGAGACGCCTTGCTTCTCTTTCCCTGGGTGGGCTCAGCCGGAGTCCTCTGTCTGCAACGCTGGGGCAAAGCAGGGGTGGGATGGGATGGATGGCCTCTGTGGACCCCTTCCAAGAGGGCCCCGCTTCCTGCAAGGCAATTGACGTCCCGGATACGATGGGGGCCCGGGAGCAACGGTGAGGCCCTCCCCCGCGCCCGGGCAAGCGGCGCCCGCCCCCCTCCCCGCCGCCCCCCCGTCGTCCTTACCCAGCAGAAGCGCCTCAGCTAGCCAAGAGTCCGCCGAGCGCCCCGCATAGAGTTCTTCTAGGCTAGAGCGGCACTATCGAGGGAGAAGCGCTCGGCCAGCCGGCCAGAGAGGCGGGGCGCAATCATAGAGTTTCGCGGATGAGTTAAAAAAAAAAAAAAAAAGCCCGACCCATCGGCGCATGCGCAGATTTGCAACCCTGCCTCCTGTCCCGATGCCGGGTGTTCGGGCGGGCGGGTCGCGCCTCCCGCACGGCTGGCCGCGGTTGATGGGCGGGGTTGCCCCCTCATTTCCACCAGCGGCCCCGCTCCAGACGGGGAGGTGAGCCCGTTGTCCAAAACCTCCTGCGGGGCCCTTGGTTCCTCCGCTCGGCTCTCGGGGCAGAGCCCGGCAAGGACGGATCCGCCGAGGCGCTTTGCACGTGCTCAGAGGCGCCCTCGCCCGCTGCGATGGGGATCGTCAAGTTGGCCGAGCTGATCAAAGAGGAGGCTCCGGACGCCGTGCGCCCCGTCACCCTCCAGGAGTACCGCGGTGAGCACCGCTCCGCCCCCCCCCCTCGGTCCCTGAGCATGCACAGAGTGCAAAGAGTACCCATCCGCCCTCGGTCCCTGAGCATGCAGAGAAGCCCCACCTGCTCTCCGTCCCTGAGCATGCACGGAGTGCAAAGAATACCTATCTGCTCTCGTTCCCCGAGCATGCAAAAAAGGCCCACCTGACCTCGGTTCCTGAGCATGCACTAAGTGCAAAAGTGACCTGCCTGTCCGCAGTCACTGAGTATGCACAGAGGGCAAAGAGTACCAGTCCTCCCTTGGTCTCTGAGCATGCACAAAGTGCAAAGAAAGGGGCCATCCACCCTCAGTCCCTGAGCATGCACGGAGTGCAAAAATGACCTGTTTGCCCTCAGTCCCTGAGCATGCACAGAGCGCAAAGGGAGGGGCCATCCACCCTTGATTCCTGAGCTTGTACAGAGTGCAAAAGTGGCCTCTCTTTCTCTCTCCCCTGGGTCCCCGAGCATGCAGAGAGTGCAAAAGTGGCCTCTCTCTTTCTCTCTCCCCTGGGTCCCCGAGCATGCAGAGAGTGCAAAAGTGCTCTGTCCCCGAGCATGCAAAGAAGGAAGGCCCATCTGCCCTCAGTCCATGAGCATGCACAGAGCGCCAAGGGAGCCCCGGGGAGCCCTAGCATCACTCTGGGGCTGCTAAGCCTCTTTGGGTGCTTTGGGTCCCCTCAAGAGTCCAGGGTGGCTTGGGAGGGGAGGGGCGACTCTGCTAGTAGGCTGGGTGGGCGCTGGGGCCAGTGGAGCCCGATCGGGTGAAAAGGATGGGTGGGCAGCAGGATCCCTTCCCCTCCAGCCTGCTCAGCCTTCCTCCTCTTCCTCCTCTGTGGCTCAGACCGGGTGGTCGCTCTGGACGCCTCCGTGGCCGTTTATCAGTTCCGCACAGCGATGCCCCAGATGATCAACCGCCACGGGCAAAACATCAGGTGAGCAAGAGGGGGAAAGGCCTCTCCTCCTCCTCCTCTAGCCTGGGAGCAGTGGGAGTGGGGGGGGGGGTTCTGCCTGGGATGTGCTGGCTGACCAGGGACCCTGCCTGGTCCTTTCGTGGCCTGGCTCACACGGATAGGTGTCCTCGACTTGCAATGGTTCGTTTAGTGACCTAAGTTACAGCACCACCACAGAAAAAGGCAATTCAGGACCGTTTTTCACACCTTTGACAGTTGCAGCATCCACATTGTCATAAAAATACCCCAATAAACACAGACAACCCAAAAAAACAATAATGAGGAGCCAGATTGTTGGGGGCCGGAGGCCGACTCTGTAAACCGCTTAGAGAGGGCTGTAAAAGCACCGTGAAGTGGTATAGAAGTGCCGTTGCTGTTGCTAATTCTTACGTCAAGATTCAGAGGTTTATTTCATGAGCAATTTGGAGCATGAACAAGCCTTCGTAACACAACTTCTATCGATACCCCATTGCCACGAGGCGGTCCATGACATAGCTGAGTCCAGCAAGGAATAGCTACAGCTGGTGGTCCTGAACTCAGCCCAAGACATTATTTTGATGCTTTTCTGCATGCAGTTTCACAACTTACTTCCTTGTCCTTCCTTCAGACAGACCGTCTCCACATACACCCCGGACATCTCAAACCTCTCTCCATCAGCTGCTTTCACTTCCTTATTTCTTGCGGTTTTCAAAACTGCATACTTTGCACAATCACATTTCATAGCAACAGCTCCGTGGGATGATCAATGTTTCGTAATCCTTAGAAGATCATTCTAGCTGACTTCTGCTTTAATACAGAGGTCTCCAAACTTGGCAACTTTTAAGACTTGTGGACTTCAGCTCCCAGAATTCCTCAGCCAGTTATGCCAAAGGTTTTTTTGGGGGGGGGGGGGGGAGGCTTGCTTTAATATGTAGCATTTTATTTGCTGTCGTTCTGAGGCCTAGATAATTCAAAGCCCAAGTTTTCCTTTTCTCACCCTGTGGTCTTGCAATCCTCATATTTATGACGGCGAGAAAAGCCCATAAAATGGGACAAAACTCACTTAAACACGCGTTCCACTTAGCAACAGCAATGTCGGGCTCAATGGTGGTCGTAAGTCAAGGACTCACCCTCTTCCCTTCCCTCCCAGTTCCTTGCAGGGACTCTTCTTCCGGACGCTGCACCTGTTGGAAAACGGCCTGAAGCCGCTCTTCGTCTTCGAAGGGAAGCCCCCCGAGCTGAAGCAGCCGGTGGTGTGTAGGATTCTGGTGTTGGG